CTATCGCCCAATTTCACTCCTTTCCAGACTTTTTTCGATATTTTCAGCTCCGTGATTTTGCTAGGACCCACTCACCGGCATTTCCTCATGTTCCAAACCCCAGTGGCATTGATTTAGCACTCAAGGCAAGAATCTTGCCCAAAGGTCACGTTTCCTTCCTTTATGACCTCCTGTTCACAACTGACGAGTCCGCGGTAAAAAAAATCAAGGCTGATTGGGAAAGCGAATTACAAACCAACCTTTCTGAGGATTTCTGGGAAAAGGCGCTTGGGGCTGTTCATTTTTCTTCTAGCTGCGCTAGGCTGTCTCTTATCCAGTTTAAAGTGCTCCACAGACTTCATTACAGCAAATATAAACTCTCCAGAATATTTCCGGATACAATTGATGAAACTTGTGGTAGATGCTCTCAGGCTCCTTGCAACCTGACTCACATGTTTTGGTCCTGTTCTAAATTAGTTAATTATTGGCAATCCTTCTTTAAGTCCATCTCTGACATTTTAGGTATAAACATCAATCCATCCCCACATATAGCTATTTTCGGTAGGTCTCCTGACGATCTTGCCACCTCGACCACTCAGGACAATGTTATTGCTTTTGCCTTTTTAATTGCCCGCAGGAAAATCCTTCTCTTATGGAAATCTTCACAACCTCCCTCCTTCAACGCATGGCTGCACGATGTCTTATTTCTCTTTAAGTTGGAGAAAATTAAATTCTCTCTTAGAGGGTGCTCTGATAGGTTTTACACTCACTGGAGACCTCTGCTTCAATATTTTGAGAAACTCTCACCTGACGAGGTATTGTAGTAGTACACCTTCGCCTGCTGATACTGATCCTGTCCTCTCGTGCCTGTCCAGCCAATTTATGCTCCAACGTGGGCTGACGATAAATCCTTATCCAAATTATTTTCCTCTTTACCTAATCTTAGTGATCACTATATTAGTATTGAAGGCGACTTTAATCAGGTTCAGAACACAGAGCTGGATAGGTCATCAACTAATCGATCTAACACATCCAAATCGGCCAGTGTCTTAAAATTTCACGCCGACCAACTGGGCTTGATAGACCCGTGGAGAACTAAATTCCCTTTTAGTAAAGTCTTCTCATTCTTTTCACACGTTCATCACACGTATTCGCAAATAGATTTCTTCTTACTGGATAACAGGCTGCTCAATAATACTCTCTCTTGCGACTACCACAGTATAGTCATCTCCGATCATGCCCCAACGTCTGTAGAAATCAATTTTCCCCGGAGCAGACCACTCTCAGAATTCTGGAGATTTAGCTTGCACTTGTTATCATATCCTAAATTTAAAGATTTTCTCACTACACAGATTCATTTTTTCTTTGAAACAAACAACACTCCTGATGTTGGTAATGATATACTTTGGGAGGCTTTCAAGGCTTGTCTGCGGGGACAGATTATATCCTTTGTATCCCATTTTAAGAAATCGGAACGTCTCAAGTTGACAGAAATATCTGATGAAATCCGAAAACTTGATGACCTGTATTCGGCCAATCTCTCTTCCCACTTTACAAAAAGCGGCTCCAGCTTCAATCTCAATTTGATTTGTTGTCCACTGGTAAGGGTGAGAGGCAACTCCTCCAAACCAAGTAACGTTTTGTTGAGCAAGGAGATAAGGCGGGAAAACTGCTTGTTTATCAACTGCGGGTGGTTAGGCCCTCCAGACTGATCCCCAGAATAAAATCACCTTAAGGTGAAATTACAACTGACCCTATGGAAATTAGTAATATCTTCTCAAACTATTATTCTAAATTGTATTCCTCTGAGTCTGCTCCACATGACACATCAGCCCCAATCCTCTTGAACTTCTCGCTTACCCCCAAGTTGACGGAGGAGACTCAGGTGGCATGGGTGAACCCATAACCATATCTGAAGTGACTGAAGCAATTAAATCCTTACAAACCAGTAAATCACCTGGTCCGGACGGCTTTACCACAGAGTTTTATAAAGCCTTTCACACCGTACTCGCTCCATTCTTGGTGAGGGTATTTAATGACGCCTTTCTGAAGGGCCACTTACCACCAACATTATCAGAAGCCTCGAGCACTCATCACTGTTGCTAAAAAAGGGTAAAGACCCACTCCTCTGTGGCAACTATAATCTCTCTCCTGAATGTAGACTTTAAGATATTAGCTGTCTTGCCGTCTCCAGAAGGTCATCTTTATCTCATTTTTTAACACTAGAAGGCTGCCCAACATATTTTTTTCCTCCACTAACAGCTCACCTGAAATTGTGCTCTCTCTGTATGCCGAAAAAGCATTCGACAGAGTAGAGTGGAAGTGTTTGTTTTTCATACTTGAAAAATTTGGCTTCAGCTCTGACTTTGTTTCATGGATCAAACTCTTTTATACATACCCGCTAGCTGCAGTCAATATCAATGGCATAAAATCTGGTCTATTCCCACTGTCCCACGGTACACGCCAAGGGTGTCCACTGTCCCCATTACTGTGTGCTCTGACCGTTGAACCCTTAGCCATATGGCTTCGTAAAGAGGAGAAGTTTGAGGATATTACACGTTTCTGTCTGTCCCATAAGCTTTATATGCGGACGACCTTTTGCTTTATATTTCAAACCCAACATCCTCTCTTCCCACGATCTTAAACATCCTGGAACAATTTAGGAAACTTTCTAGTTACAAACTAAACCTCCAGAAGAGTGAATACTTCCCGATTAACTCACTTGCGGAAATGCTTCCCCAACCTCTTTTGCCTTTTAGAAAGGTCACAGAATGATTTAGATATCTGGGGATCTCCATCACACAATCATTTACAGAACTCTTTGCTAAAAATTTCTGCCCATTATTGGATCGTTGCAAATCTAATTTAACTAGGTGGTCTAGTCTCCCTCTCTTTCTATTGGGACGTGTGAATCTAATCAAAATGGTGGTACTGCCCCAGTTTCTGGGGGTTGCCGTTCAGCACATTCCAATATTCATTAGTAAATATTTTTTTCCCCTCACTTGATCAACTGATAAACTCATTCATATGGGGTAGTAAAAGAGCGCATATCAAGAGGACAGTTCTCCAACTCCCCAGGTCTGAGGGAAGCCTGGCTTTACCAAGTTTCCGCCGATATTATTGGGCCTGTAATATCAACAAGCTCCCGATTAAACGAGCTGCTCAGAACCGAATCGTAACCGACACTTTAAAAATTTGGAACCAGTTCAGGAAACAGTATGGCTACATACGCAGTCAGGTTTAGCGCCAGTCTATCGCAATCACCTTTTCCTTCCTTCTTTTTCAGATCCAGCTTTCCAGATTAGGTCAAACAGAGGTCTCCAGACTCTTAACGACCTCTATCTTAAAGGTTTTTTTTTCCCCTTTTGCAGATTTGTCAGCAAAATTTAACCTTCCAGATTACACACTTTGTGCAAAAACTATTCCCCCAATTCCCTAGCTGCCCTCCGGATTCAATGATTGATGCTTTTCTCTCACTAAATACTGGGCGGAAGGGGCTCACCTCGATCATATACGGTTATATTTCCAAGATTAATCCAACTTGCTTAAGCTCCCTAAGAGCCATCTGGGACCAAGACCTTGAGATCACTATGTCGGATGACCAATGGGCATGTGTACTTGGCCTTGTTCATACCTCCTCTATATGTGCAAGGCACAGTTTACTACAATGCAAGATTATACACAGAGTCCAATTCACCAATGCAAGACTAGCCAAAATTTACCCTGACAGGTCTGATGCATGCAACAGATGTAAACAGTCACATGCTGATCATATGCATATGTTTTGGTCATGCCCACGTTTATCTGCATTTTGGTCTGCAATATTCAATACACTTAGTGTTGTCTTAGAAAGAACAGCAGACCATAACCCCCTAACTGCCATTTTCGGAATCCCTTCTATGCCTAACACGGCCAAAACCGAACAACAAGTTATTGCATTTACCACTCTACTTGCAAGGAGACTTATTCTACTCAAATGGATACATTCCTCGCCGCCTACTCATAATAGATGGATTCAGGATATACTGCAGTGCATTAGGCTTGAGAAGATGAGGTTCTCCCTGAGAGGTTCCCTTAAATTATTCCATAACACCTGGCATCCCTTTTTAGATCATATTGACACCCTAGCTATCTATGAGGAAAATAATGAATACGAGATGAACTCTCTCTCTTCTCCCCCCCCAAAATAAAAAATTAAAACCTAATTTATGTTGTCTTACCCTGCAAATTGAATGTCTAATGGAATTATTTATGGAACTATCTTGAAGTATTGCTTCGATTTGTTTTGTGTCTGATTTGTTTATGTATATATATATATATATATATATATATATATATATATTTTTTTTTTTCATTTACTTTATTAATTTATTATTTGCACTCTCTTCTTGCTCCTTGTCCTAGTATGCATGAGTGTGAATGAGACTCCTGGGTAGGCTACTGTGAAAACAGGCTACCTTCGGAGTGGGAATAGGATTCCTGACTAGGTGGGTGGGTATGGGGTTAACTGGGATGGGCGGGAGAAGGCAGGAATGGGGTTTACAAATGAGCACAGTATAATGTCAACTCTTATGCCAACTGTATGTTTTCTTATCGTCTGTGCAAACAAGATTTGGAAAAACCGATAACAGACCATTTCTATGGGTTATTTGCAAATCAGTAAGAAGGTTTTTACACAGCTGTGTCATGACCCCCCCCCCCCCCCCATTTTTTGAAATGCCAATATCAGTCTACAGTGACAAAATGGTTCACCTCTTTTCATGCCCTGAGAAAAGCTGAGAAACACACATTCATAACAAGGCACAAACTGACACAAAAACACAAGAAAGATATGGTATTACGGTTCTTGATGTCGTTCATACAATGCTTTCTTGATGAATTTCTTACAGTCCCATTTCTGCCACCTAACATTGATTAAAAAGCCTCACAAGCCACCTAATCAATGTGAAACCTCATTATTGAAGTCATTTCCCCCCACAATGTGTTCTTCGTATTCAGTGTTATTTTTCTACTTCTCACAGGTCCCATGTTGCTGCAGTTCCCACCAGCTCGGGCAGCGGTCTGGAGGGCTTTAAAGCTTTTCCAGTCTTCAAAGAGATGGAGAAACATCTACAGGAGGTATCAAAACACACTGTAACCATCTAAAGCAACATCTTAATGAAGTCTCTCTTGGTTTTATCTGGTGGGAAAAGTATATTCACAACCAACTTTATGCATCCATACCCTAGATCTTTGTTCCTCATTTCTTCCTTTTGTTCCACTGATGGTCTAATGTAATGTAACAATGCGCCTCACACAGCTGAGCTATCAGACTCACAATTGCCTTCACTTTTCTTTGATGGACCAATATATGGTATGATTCTATCTTCTTTCACTTTCAGAGCAGAGGACAATTTATGGTCTTTAGATGCTTTTAGCTACAGATTGTGAGCAGATTCATATCTACTAAACTGCATCATCAATTGAAACAGAAAAGCAGCAGCGGTCAGTTCAGAGCCATGTATCGTGAACATTTTTTGTCCTACTTTTTTATAAGCAGTGATATTTATCAAGGACTCACTGTTTTGGATTGTATAAGCTACAGTGATTGAACCAAGCGACAAACCTCCAGCGGCATTTAAAAAAACCAGGAGCTCAGGAGATCGCTTACACACCCCATATTAAAATGTCCATTTTGACAACAGAAATTAACATTGTTACAACCTGATACAAAAAACGATTTCGGTCAATTTAGTTGAAGTACATTTAGATTTTTGAAGGATAAGACTTATTCATAATAAGGCATGCGGCTGATCTGTGTAACAGGCAGGTGCAGTGTAGCTGTTTGTCAAGGGGCTTGCTGCAGCTCCAGCTCTTAGCCTGTCATGATGTTGACTGACAGTTAGGTCGAGAAGACATTTCCAGCATGGTGACTGCCCCTTCATTAACCAATGTTGTTGTTGCTCAGGCTTTGTCCACTATTATTTAAAGTCTCTGGATGGAAGAACAACATGAGCGTCAGGATATTATTTGTGGAACACAACAAGTGTAATTGAACCCAAGACATTTTACGGCCCGTTGACATCTTGCTCAGCGGTAGCATTGTTGAGTAAAATTATATAGGCCCGAATATCAACCCCATCTAAGTTGTACCTCTGCGGTAACAACTAAGCATTCCCCGGCTTGCCGCTCCATTGACACCCTACATAAGCGACCACAGCATTAACCAGCACCAAACTAATGTTGGAGAACACAGTCAAAATTTTCTCCCGTCACAGAATGTTATCTTCTATCAGTTCTTGACATTACATATATGTCACTCTTTTCTGCTAATTTAGTACATCCTTGATGTAACATTGCACATGCCCACATCGTCATAGTGATTGTTAAAGGCTTTATATGTGATTTTTTGATCCAGCAGATGTCGCCCTTGAGCACCAGCATGAAACCAAAACAACTCGCGCTGCATTGTTGTGTTAGCATGCTAATGCTAGAGATCTTTATTATGCTCGTATCTTCACACTGCACGTAAATTTTCTTGATCTAGAAACACAGTTAAGCAGTGAGTACAGTATGTTATTCTTCTTTTCCCTAGTCCCTCAATTAAATAACTTTTATTCACGAGGGGAGGAGTCAGCCGTCGTCCCGGCTATGTCAACAAACAGAAAATATGACTGAAAACATCACAGACAGTGGGACTCGGGTGTTACACCCATTGTAGACAGTCATGACTCACAGAGTTATTTTCAGAGGATATACTTGATTTCTATTACATTTAAGTGTGAAAAATCGTATATAAAGCCTTTAAACAATACTATAAATCATGCAGCCTTACTACTTCCCATGCTCTCTCTTAGTCTCTCTTTCTCTCTCTCTCTCTCTCTCTGACAAAAGTCTGCTCATCGCGTGTCATCAGTCGATTGTTTGTTTACTAGAAACAACTTTTGTACTTATTTGCATTTACAGTGGGGAAATGTGATTTGATAGGAAGCGGTCACGGGAGACGTTGTGGAGAATCATTCCGATGTCACGGGTAAAATGAATTCCCTCAGAGCCATCCACTTATCAGTAGATTACTGTTAGGTGGGGGTTGTTTCTGTTTGTATAAATCCAATGAAGAAATTGTGAAACAGACTGGAGATTATAACACCATTTAATCGGCCGAGGTCAGACAACTTCATCAAACACGCACACTTACAAATCACTTGACTGACAAAGTGCTGATAAAGTAACAGTGTTCACAGTGCTGCTTATATTCTGCTAGAAGGTACAGCCCTTGAATAATACATTTCACAAAATTACCAAGATGAATGAATTTCATGAAAATTCGTACTAACAATTACCCAGGAGGCTGCATGTTATTTCCAGAAGTAAACATGGCCTTTTTCACGTAGAAATACCCGGTAACTAATCATTTATTTCAAAACGCCACGAATGTGAATCATTGTTAAATCAGCAAAGCCCAGCAAATCACAGGTTTCCACCTAAAGGGTGGAAACCTGTGATTTGTTACATATTGACCAGTTATATCCTGTGGTGACTGACGTTGATGACAGGACAGAGGGAGGTCATTTTACTTTATTGAGATGTGGGAATGGTCTGTTAATGTGCCTGCTGGCAAGCCTTAAGTGAAATATATGTGGACTAATATGTACGTTTCTATTGATTTGAATTGTACTTGTGTGAGCTTCCACTCTGCACTCATGAGCCACTAATGATCAATAAGCTGCAGCCTGAAAGAGCTATAAGAGACTATCAAGTCATAGTTTTGTCCTTCTGACTATATGTAAACAGTTCTAGCTTTTGTATAATTGTTGAAATGTGAAGATGTTTTCTATAAGCCCTCTCCACTTCCTGCAGGAAGGCGAGCAGCTTGTCAAGAAGATTGGTGGAGTGTTTGCCTTCAAAGTAAAGGATGGACCAGAGGGGAAAGAGGCAACCTGGATTGTTGACGTGAAAAATGGCAAAGGTTCTGTCTCCAGTGATCCAGGTTTGTAGCCCAAAAAGAAGTTCAACTCTGCTTTCAAAAACACATTTTATCTGGATTTGATATCAGCACACACACACACAACACACACACACACACACACACACACACACACACACACACACACACACACACACACACACACACACACACACACACACACACCTGAACAAAATGTGACTAAAAGGGCCAAGTTTAACTTTACTTAAATACCATCATGATCGTTAACATTTGCACCTTTTACAAACAAAGATGTCTCTCTATACAGACAAGGTCTTTTCTGACACATGTCTTCAAAACATGTCTTCTTTTTGTATTCTGCTTTATGTTTTTGATTGTCTACCTCTAAAGAAGAAGTTGGTCTTGCATCTAAGAGACAGAAGAAAGACTGAACAGATCAGCTATAGAGCCATTGTTACTTATGCTGAACAGCTAACCTGCTCTAGAGCAGATTATATTCAAGATTACAGATCAACTTGTTCTTTTTCTTTCCCTGGCAAGTATTTGTTTGAGAGATAATCATTGTAGTTCTAGCTTCTGTTTATCTTTCAAAGCAGAGACATGCTGAAGCCCAAAATCTTTGTTATTCTTTTATGAAGGAAAGTGTTCATACCTTTTAAATTGTGTTTTATATATTTTTTTTTTACAATGCGATTCTAAACATTTTCAATAAACACAAAACTGAGAAATCTTCAGGGAGAGCGCCGTCAGTGTTTCCCCAATCAAGGTTAAGGCACCTGCAATACAGCACAAAGACAGATGCACAAACGAAACACAGAACACAAGGTATACCCAATAATAACCAAACACCTGTGACTCACAGTCATAACAACCTGGACTGCAGTTGAAAGAATGGTGATCATATGGTTATATATGCAACAAGAATAACTCTCAAAGTTAAGTGAATACACAGATGTCACTTTAAATAGATCAACGTTTGCAGTAATGAGCGGTGATATTATCAGCCAAATGAAAACATTACACACTGTCAGGGACTTTAACCAGCTATTGTTCTTGAACTCAGCAGCTACTGCTGTGCTGCTTTAAACCTGTATGATCAATCAATCAATCAATCAATCAATCAATCAATCAATCAATCAATCAATTTTTATTTGTATAGCGCCAATTAATAACAAGTGTTATCGCGAGACAATTTACAAAAAGTAGATAAAAGACCTTACTCTTTATTTAATATAACAAAGAGCAGGTAAAAAGACCATACTCATAGCTTTATTACAAAGATCCAGCTTAATCCAAAATTAGCACTTTAGCAAAGCAGCAAAAAGTTACAGTGGCAAGAAAAAACTGCCTTTTAACGTGCAGAATTCTTGGGCAAATCCAGGCTCATGACGAAACAGCTATCTACTAAGCCGGGTTTGAAAATGGGATAGGGGGAGATGCAATGAGATGCAGGAACAAGACTGTGTGTGTGTGTGTGTGGGGGGGGTTGTTGGTTGTTCAGTCAGGCCGTCCACCAACACAGAGAGAGAGAGAGAGAGAGAGAGGGAGCAATCGTGTCGTAAGTTGATTGAATCGTTACATCCCTAATCGACACTAAATGTAGACGGGCCTCTAATTGAGACCTGCCTTTAGTTGTCAAAACGTTCAGCTGCACCGGGCTAGTAAAAGGGACTGGGCCTTAAATTTGGATGGGCTTTTGAATTTGAAGTTTTATACTACTCCTACAGTCATCAGATAAAACTGGGCAAAAAAACAGAACTTTATATACAAGAACTGATTAAATGTTTCAGGGATTTCTTCACTGTCCACTGTGCTGTTCAACTCTCTGCTCTCCCCTCTGTTGTGTCTGAGCAATGAAGGGATAAGATGTTCGATTGTGTTTCCGTTGTCTGACCGTATATTTTTTTGTGGCACTTCTAGCTAACTACTAATGACCAGTTTATCTAGACAAGCAGACAACTTCTCATAGATTTGAGTTTGACAACTGTCTTTGAGCAATATCTTGAATTTTCCTTATGAACTGAATTTTTGTATTTAAAGAAGGATAAAGCTGCTACACTGGATACAAAACAGGACACACAAATCAAGAAAAAGGGCAGCACACACAAACACACGTGGTCATTAAAAGTCAGATCTATCCTCATCCAAACAATGCCTCGAGCATTTATATCCATCTTTGATATGCCAGAGGCAAAAGTCATGTTAAATAAGGTGTATTCTGCCTTTTTAAGCAGCCACAGTGACTCATATGTTACATGCACACACATACACACATACACACATATACACATACAGCCAAACACACAAACATGCTCTCACTGCCTGTCTTGTTAATAGCTCCCTCTCCATTAGGCTGGCTGCCATTGTGATGTTTTCCTGGAACATAGTCCTTATTTACTCAGAATGAAAAATCCTGAAATGGAAAGTTTTCTGAAGAGAAATCTTTCGATCTTCTCTCAACATTTTTGAAATCTGCAAAAGTGGAATGCCGTTACCTGTTTCAAGCGTCCTGTATCTATCATTAATAAAAATGTATGAAAATTAAATGAAAAATAGGTCGAGATTGCTGCTTGTAGTCATGAACCATAAAGAATGATTACATTTAAACTGAAATTGATCAAAAAACAACAACAAACAGTTAAAACCAGTTTAAAGTCCCCACGAAATGAAATACTTTTTCCTGGTTTAAATCCAGCTTTCCTGTGTTCATTCATTCCAATTTTATGCCCCGGCTTCTATCTCGTGATTGGTTCTATCCTGTTTCAAGTGGAAATCCATCACGCAGTGTTTCCCTTTTCCCCCCATTTGGAGTGGCACCTCAACTCCACTCAGCGCCACCCCAAAAGAAAGGCGCAAAGTACTTTATTTGTGGAAATTCAGTCATTTATGGGCACTTGTTTAATTTCAGCAGCGCATGAACATCTTTTATGTATTCCGCTGTCCTGAGCAACGTCTCCTTTACAGCTTGTCTCAGAAGCCAGGATATTAATTCTGGCTGAGCCTCTTTCCTTATCATTTACCATATTTTATTGGCTTCTTTTAAAGATATTTCTGGGAACATTTACGATACCGATACAGCTTTTGTTCATCTGCTAGCTTTTCATATTTTTGTTGACACGCGTGCAAAGTATGCTGCTCTGTGAAAGTGAAGTGAAAAACTAGTGTAAATGAATGGAGAAAGCAGAACAGTTTAATGTGGCACGACTTAAAGCTGCATTCAAATACAGTGTTGGCAATGTCGAGTCACAGTTTATTTCAACATTACTGTGACTGTACTTCATGTTCTTTCTGAAAAAGTGGGTTCAAACACAACGCTGTCTCGCAATGATGTCAAGGCTTCATCTCTCTCACTCAACTTGGACATTTTGAAAGTTTGTAATTTAAAGCTTTTCTTCAGCTTCCACTTCACAGATGTCATTCAAGAGTCAATCTACGCCCACTACGCACACACTTTCAACAAAAGCATAGGCATTACAGATCCTGGTAATGCTATGTTTTTTTTAAATGGAGATGGAAAAGCTTTATTCTGCTTTAACAGGTTGAGTGTTGCCTTGTGCTGATAAAGCCTCAGAACACTGCACAGACATTTTTCTTCAGGGTATGGAAAGGATTCATCTTTATGTTTTCTGACTTGCTTCAATGGAAGACACTGCTATGTATGACTCACACAACTGTTTACGCTAATGGAAACCAGAAACCCAGTGCACTCTGGAGTGCTTTCTGTTTACAACATGGGCTCTGAATGTGATTGAAGACAATATTTTGTATTATAGATATTGTAGTGGCTATTTGTCCAAAACAACACCATGGGGCTGTAATGTACGCAGGCAAAAGTAATCCAATGTCCATGCAGGAGCTGCAGTATTTTGCTGGTTTATTTGATGAAAACAAACAAAAGAACAAAGAAAATCGTGGCTCCCGCTGCCTCTCTTGACCTGCTAAAAAACAATAGGCCCACCCAGGTGCATGCTGGTCCTCTACCTGCTGCTTACTTAAATAATCTCCAGTGCCCACAGTATTACCCAAATACCTAACAAAATACTAATACGAAACTAAATTTACTAAACAAATAACTAGCAAAAAGAAAATGTTACCCAAAATCTTTTCTAAATAAATAAAACGTGTAGAACAATTAAATAAACAACACCACCCAAATATTAGTAAACTAAATACAAAAACTAATTCTATGCCCAATTAAATAGCTCCAACAGATATAGATGATTATTTTAAATACTTTGGCGGTGTTCTGATCTGATCCAAATACAGGATCAGAGTGGATTTATAACAAGAAACTTCACAGACATGTTTTGGGGAGCTCTTTTTTAATTGTATTTTTTCTTTCAGGTAAAAAGGCTGACTGCACCCTATCCATGAGTGATGTGGATATTCTGGATCTGATGACCGGAAAGTTGAACCCACAGACGGTGTGTAATGATTATATTTAATTGACCTTTTACAAACAAATGTAAGTACTGTAAATATGTTTGCACTTACCATGTCCATAAAACAAATGCTGATGACTAACTGAAGTCATGCTGAACTTCTCTGTGCTTAATGGCTTTAAAAAGGAATGAGGTGCCGGTGGGTTAGTGCGCGCCCCATATACAGAGGCTGTGGTCCTCCAAGCGGGTGGCCTGGGTCCGAATCTGACCTGCGGCTCCCTTCCCAGATGTTATTCCGAAATCTCTCTGATTTCTCCTGATTTCTGACTCCTATGTCCTATGTCTAAATAAAGTCATTAAAAGACAAAAAAAAGAAGAAGGAATAACTGATAATGAGTAATATTAGTTTAGACTGCAACTATATCCTGTAAAAAATGGCTGAGGCAAAGAAAGTGGACAAAAGAATAGGCATTTTGTTTTACAGAACAAGATGTCCTTACCGTGTTGCTTTGTTTCACTTGTCAAGTCATAGTGCCAGCCTTTATTTGTCTGGTTACAGTTCAAAACTGTTTTTCCTGTTTGAAATGTCAGTATCTCTGCATGCTGCATTTATGACGTCCCTCTAAAAGGGAAGAATTTGTTATGAGCAGACATTTGCATACATTTACATAACATTGTACATTTGTATGTATAACAAAAACTAGAACTGAAGTTCAGAAAGCAGCTTCTTACCAACAGTAGTTAAATAAACACCTAAGACAGAGTGTTGGAGAAATGTTTTGTGCTGAGTGCATGATGATAGATCAGAATTTTCTTTAAAACATTGAATTCTGTTCATGTCTGCTCTGCTGTCATTTTTTTTTTCTACGGCTGTGTTTGAGTAGCTTTAAATTTGTGTTTAATTTTCTGTCAGGTCACACCTTTTGCTTTGCCATCACTCTTCCACTCATTAAGAGACAGCAGCCACATGTCCAATGTGTCTTCTCAGTGGTGCTTCGTCGGCAGCTTGTGAATGTATATGAATGGGATTAGTTACTTCACTGCCATCAGTGTGTGAATGGGTGTAAATGGGTAGGTGTGATCTGCAGTGTAAAAGTGCTTTGAGTAGTCAGAAGACTAGAAAAGCGCTTTACAAGCTCAAGTCCATTTAACATTTACTAAAGTCATTCCAGTAGTTTTTTGTAATTCTGCTTGTAATTGAACATCCCTGAATAGTGAATACTAAATATTCATAATGCCGGTTTAAATTATATCTTTACGTTATGCCTTAAACACATTGTGAGATAGCTTTCCTAAAAAATCCTGATCCAAGAGGGATTATAATTAATGAAATAAACAAACCATGCCTCACTATAGTTGGAAACAACTAACAACTTCCTGGTCCAGCTGGTCGGTAAGTCTGCCCCAAAGTTTGACTGACAGCCAAAACAAAAAAAAAGAAATATTTCCAATTTGTTTTATTTAAAGCAAGTACGCTTCATGGTTAAGCACTCTGGATTTTCCTGTTTTGTGTCTTAATAAACTTGTTTCAACAGATTGTTGTAAAACAGTCTTTGTTGAATGTTTAGGTTGCGGGTTGTTTGAGCACATGAACGCATCTGTTGTGTGTTCTTATACATGTGTAGTTGTGTTTACTAAGAGCTGTCTGTTTTTTTTAAAGCCTAAATACATGCCTGTCTGCCAGATTGGCGTCTGTGTTGACCAACTTAATCCAGTTGGATGCTTTCTGTATGAACACATTTCCATTTAGCCCACTAGTCTAATCCTTACAGCAACAGGAAACTCAAGTAATGAATCCTCATTACTGTGGATGTACACGTTTTATATTGGGCTGGCATGGTGAAAATATTGTGGTGACAAAAAATCACAGATTCATTATATTCATATTTTATATATAATAATATATAAAATAGAAGTACAGCACAAAGGAATCCAACTGGCAATCAGACATCTTTGTCTGTTTGAAGCATGAGGCGCTGAAGAGAAAGAAAGGAGTATCACTTCCTTTCCCCACATTAAGACAATAATGACGTCAAGTGAGCCTAAATACCATCAACATAAAAGTAACTTTGGGTAAAGGAGGGTAAATGAGTAAACAAATGATAAAGAAGCAAGAAAATTCTTGATTCAGTAAAATACGGACACAGACAGATAATGAGCTGTCTTTACAAACTGGTTAACATTTTGACAAGACAGTAAATGTTTTCTTTTATATGGCAAGCTTTGAAGTGAAGTTGTTCAAGTACGATGTTTTCAGTTTTAGCCTTTTTATTTTGAAGCTGATGTAATAGAACACAATATGTCCCATATGGGTTGAATGTTTCCAGCATTTTGTTCTCATTTAATTAGATTTTGTTTGGTCTCGAGGCTTTTGGATGCCATGCCTCGGGGAACTCACATTTAACCTAATTCTTTATTTTTTTTTTTTTAAACCAACAACAGCATACTGGTTCAGACATTTTTTTTTGACCAAAAACTGATCACAAAAATGTGATCCTTTTTATTTCAAACCCACAAACTGAGCTTTGGTGTTCTTGGCGGGTGACCTATCAGCCCGAGGACAAATATTGATTGCAAAGGTGGGGGGAGCACAATTAGTACAGATACCCCACCTCGGGGAGAGTTTAGTAGTTTGAGATTCCCCACTCATTCAATTGATGTTTTTTTTTCCTTTAAGTAATTCATTCGGTCAACATACTGAGCACCCCTTAGGCAAAAAAGTAGGAAAAGAACCTGCAGACAGACTGATTATCCACTAATTGGGACCTGATATCTCCGCTGCACATGCACAGTATCAACGTATATGTTTAATATGAAGTTTCATCTTGAAGTGTTTTTAATGATGGCTGTCACTGTCTGCCATACTTCATGTCCCTTGTTTTGTCTCTAAGTGTTCTATCTTAAGACTACATATATACTAAAGTGAGGAATCACCCCTACAATAGAGCTCTTTCCAAGGAGCCTAAAATTCACCCTGGAGTCAAGTGGTATCTAACAGACCTCATGATGAAACGTCAAGTTATAATTTGACACCCATCTACCCATCTATCAAGGCAGGTTCTATCATTTTATAATTTAACAATTGTGTCTTCTTCTTCTTCTTCTTCACACCTCCTGTTCTCTGCCTCTCACATTTACAGTAGAGACACTTCCTCCTGTCCTGACATGTCCTCTGTACCCCCCCTGAAAATGTCTTCCAGCTTTATGACCAGTGACAAACAAAGAGGAGAGCGCTCATTCTTTGTCAGTTTAGTGCTGTGACCTTTTCATGTGAGAAGAAGGAATAATGGTTGCTTTCGTAGAGATTTAAATTCATGACTCAACGAAGCAAATTAAGATCCTGATAAATATTCCAGAGAACACCACTGGGAACATAACTGAACAAAATGTTTCAGCCTTTTAAATGTATTTTTTTGTGCAGATGGCTGTTAATGTGACTTACGTGCAATTATCTAGAGATAAATGTCAGTACCAGGAAATACACTACACTCAGCCTTAATTCTCCATGCCTGCTCAGGTTTATAATTGACTTCCTCTCAGAGCACAAAGACATGACGTACGGATGCCGGCTCTGATTGGTCAGTTTAGATGATTGCCCCTTTAAGCATTTTAAACTCATTCAATCTGGGTTCTGATCAATAATGTGTCTAATTGATTTCCATTTTCAGTGATATTAATCTTTAAGTGCATCAATGAAGTTAAAGTTGCCTTTTTTTAATCACCACCTCACTTTTGTCTCCTCAGGCGTTCTTCAAAGGGAAACTGAAGATTACAGGGAACATGGGCATGGCCATGAAGCTGCAGAACCTCCAGCTTACACCAGGCAAAGCCAAACTGTGAGAACCTTAGCAAGCTCTAATCATCTGAGCAACACTTAAGGAAGCAATGAGTTATAATTCCTCCTCTTGAATTCATGTATTTTGTGTTTGAGCTTAATATAAAGTCCGTAAAGTTTTAATTTCAGCTGCAACACAACTGTTCATGTTGGATCTCCACACATCAGCTTAAAGTCTGATTTTTGCTCGCACTGTGAGCTGCTGCAGTAGTGCATTTACAGTTAGTGTTATTCCTCTATGTTTACATATTCATGGTTTAAAATCACTAACTGTGCCTTTAAATGTCATCTATATAATTATCTATCATTAAGCTCGAGGTAGATTTTTTTTTTGTTGGCCTCAGCCAGTTTGATAGATACATCTGTATACAACATGCGTCTGTAAATGAAAACAGTTTTCTAATTTTTAAAAATAAATCTTGTGCTAACATTACAACTTTTGAAGGCTCTTAAATATTCACACCAACATTGATCTCGTTTTCATCACGCTGTATAACTGTTAACATTAATCTTCACAGCTCTGATGTTGAGTTAACTGATGAGTTGAGTTGAATTGAACAGAAATCTTTGAGAAGTAGAATACTACTCTAAATTAGTCCTTATTTTAGTAAAATTAGTAAAATACAAAAAACAAATCGAGCCAACGGTTATGAATCTGCATTTTTTTACGCAATAAACTTAATGTTGACAAAGCTCTGACGGCTCATAAACACTTTCAGAGTAAGCATGTAAGGACTACCGGTACTACAATTCAACACCTGATCTTACGCACACGCTAGACTTCATATGTGTTATTACAGCAGAGAAATATTATATAAAACCAACCTTGTTGTTAATAAGTTTTCTAAAATATTCATACTGCATAGTGGTAGTAACTCAGTCTGTAGGGACTTGGGTTGGGATTGAAAGGGTCAATGGTTAAAGTCTTGGTGTGGACCAAGTCTGGAAAGTGGTCTGGTAGCTATAGAGGTTCCAGCTTATTACACCACACCACTTTGTGTGTGCTACAGTGTATATCCTTAAGACCCATTAGCCCACAGCTTATGGTCAGTGAAACAGGTCACTGCCCTAGAGCAAAGCACCGGACCCCAACCAGCTCAGGAGCACTCGCTTTGGGCAGCCCCCTCTCTCTGACATCTCTCCATTAGCGCACATCCATAGGATCCTGTCTGTGCATGTGTTTGTGTATTTCAGCCTATGTAGCATGTTCAACAACAGCAGGGCTGGGTATCACCACTGATTGTCTGAATCGGTTCGATTCTGATTCACAAGGTCCCAATTCGATTCCAGTCCCGATTCGATACGATATCGATTCATTTAAGTTACAATACCAATTCTGTAAGATTAGGATTCTCAGAGAAAAAATATTAAAAAGGTTTAGAGATCATAAGATGTAGCAGCTTACTGTTAAATCCACTCACTTTGTCAGGTCAGTCACTTTCCAATGATAAACTCAGCGTGTTTCTGCCTCAACCAGAGGCTTTTCTATCCAACTGTCAGTGTATATTTAGTGACAGTCCTAATACAATCCTCATAAAAATAAATGTACAGTAATCCACCGTTTTTAATTTATGTATAAAATATAGTGTAACTTCAGTTAGCTCGCTCGGCTAACACAGAAGCAGCCATCTCACTTTGCTCTTGTTTTGGTCTGTAGACCAATCAGAGGCCGAATCTGCGATCAGTTGAAAAACCCAGTCCTAAACAAAAAAAATTAAATTTCCCCTTGCGGGATTAATAAATGATATCGTCTTCTTCTTCTTGATAACCACAAATAACAATCAGGCATTCAAAAACATAAACACTCCCAAAACTTTTAGCGTACAGCTCAGACGATTCTACAAGGAAATGTTGAGGACTGTGTTTCTTAATAATAATAATAATAATAATAATAATAATAATAATAACAATAATGGGACAGACTGACTGAAGCAGATTCAAAATGTTTTACAAAAGTTTTTCCTTTGTGAGTACTGGAAACACGTTCTCTGCTGGGAATTCCCGTATGTCTGTCAAGTCCTGACAACAATTCTCACTTAAATCTGTCCTTTCTTTACATTTTCTCCAACAAAGGAAGCAGGATGAGGTTTTCTTTAAAGATAAAACAAGCATGTATCTAGTTGAAGAGATAAGACATAGCGCTTTGTCCACAGGAGATATCTACACAAAAGGGAGCTTAATAAAGAATTGCTCGCCAGTCAACAAAGAGCGCTGCTGAATAAACAGGGTAGGCTCAACAATGTCAGTAGAAGACTCAAAGAGGGGAGATTTTGTATCTTCCATCCCTACTACATGCCCTTCTGAACATACAGGGATATTTGTAGGGATGTTACAGTATCGTCAATTTCATATTGCAAGATCAGAGTGTCTTGATACAGTCGTGGGCCTGCTACAGTATAAAACAATATGTTCTCCAGGGAAAAAAAGTGTAGTTTTGGGAAGTGGGAAGTAAGGAGTGTGGGAACTACAGTGACCATCATTCTTTGTACTCGGCACGCTGCCTCAGTTCAGTGTAGTGGAGAGGGAGAACAGGGAGATGATTTTGATAATTTTGGTTGCTCCAGCGACTTTTAAATCTGACATGTTTAAGCATTTGGGTTTTCCCTTGTCAAGAAATGAGAAAGGAGATTAAACATCTATGATAGGAGATTTCACCATATTATTTCTAGTTAGATTAAATGGGCAGCATGGCCATCATGGAAAATAGCTGTTTGCATTAAAAAGCCTCAGAGCTGTCTCTGTAGTTTAAAGGGTTAAAATTCAAAAAACATGTTGTTGCAGCCTACTGTCCTATTTCCACCATTTATCTATTAGTTTCTGAGTTGACCTTGAGGACCCCCCCCCTCCCCCATCAACCTTCTGCCAGATCCAGCCTGCCTGCCTCGATGCTCATATCCCGCTAACTCTCTTCAGCCCATCCCCGGTTTTGTCCCTCTGCCAGGTGTCCAGCTGGCCGAACACTTAATTCAGATGCTGCCCAAGCTGCTGGGCAGACCCGTTTCAGTGACCATAACCAGTGGGCTAATAGGTCTTAAGGATATAAACCGGTCACAAACACAGAGTGGTGGGGTGGGATAAGGTAACGGCTCCATGTCAGCTGAGGGTTTCAGGTTTGGTCGGCCTCAAGTCAACTTATGATACTTTTTATACTTGGCTAAACTCTTTCTTAGAGGGCAAATGAAAAGAGTGATGTGAATGAACATCTTGTTATATGCCAATGATTTACCTTCATACAGAGACTCAGTCTATGTAGAAATGTCAGGCAACCATGGTTCACTCTATGAGTTGCAGCTCCTTCAGAGAGCGATATCTGATATCACGCAACCACTAATGGAGCTCCTGGCAATGCCTTCCAGTAGTCTGAAGAGTTTCATTATCACTTAGCCCCTAGCAGCAGTTTAATATCCATATAAAAATGACTTTCCCAACATTTTTATCTTCTCTCTTTTCTGTAAACTGTACGACACGTCCTTTCTCTGTCAGTTTAGTGCATCTAGAGAAATATTTGACATCATGACATGTGCAGTAGGTATTGGGCTTATGAGTTTCCTCACATTCTGTGTTCAATAGAATAACCTGTTACAATAAACAGAAAGATGTTCCTCCGAGGATCAACAAGTAGACCTTGAATATAGTTTTTCGATGTTCTTCGGTCTATGTGCTGCAAAATGCAATCCTTTTGTTTTGACCCACAAGGTTGCAGTGGTAGTATTTTTTTATCCCAGTTTTTCTACAAGGTTATTGTTGTTGCTCACACTGAGAGCTTTTGGTTAAAATCAGCAGATGGAGCAGTATAATTACACCTTTTAGCACGCCTGTGAGCCAGCATACTTCATGTCCAGTGAAATATATTTGTAGCTTTTTCTATGGAACCTGGTTTTCTTTTTTCTTTTCAGCCTTGAGCTCCCTTATTCTACCCTGATTAAAGTGAAAAACACTTTCAGTGAATCTAACTGCAAGCTATACAGCATGTTGAAAATGTTGGACATGGACTTGAGTATCTCAGTTTTTAACAAGTAAATACAAGTTACTTGTATTTGTGTTTGTGCATGTAAACATCATATCCTAATTTCAGAAACCAGGATAAGCCCTTATCCTGACTTTCAGAAACATGATTTTTCTACCCAGTGAACTCCGAAAGAAAACTACTGTGGCATGTGACACTACCCCGATTTTTTCTTCCGACTTCCTGCAGGTTAGGCAGTATCAGCAAAACAAACACGGTTAAGCGACTAAGAAACTGAGTTTTTTCTCCCCCGAAACCAGGATTCTAGTATTTATCATGTCAACAGGGATATGAATAACCAGGTTTGTTCGTATGCATGTAAACGCCATGTCCTCAATATGATCTGAACAGGGATAAGGCTCATAGACGGGATAATCAAGTCCATGTAAAACACTCTATGTTATCGCCTTTAGACAGCCATGAAAATACAAATGAGAAAGGAAGTGCTATGTGAATTCGCCGTATGTAAATTCTAAGAAAGGATTGATTGTGGGGTCATTGAATTCAGTAAATGTCAGTCCAGAGACATTACCTTAGACAAATGTAAATAAGCCAGCTGTTCTTTGTCTTGCACTCTGCATGGACTCCGATAAATCTTCTGTCTTGACTCATTTGACACCTGCATTTGCTTTAGTGCACACTGGGATTTATTCAGATTTGAACAGGGCATTTGTTCATCCGTTAGTACATACACGGCTGATTCCTCTACTTTTAAATGAAGATGCAGTGTGTGGGATATTCAAATGAAGCTAATGAGCTTTCTCTATTGCAGTTTTTAGTTCTTTCAAGTTCATCAAATACAACTCTTGTTCGAGTTTTTGAAATGAGCATTATGAAATACAAAAGTGAAGTATTGTACATTTTTTATCTACTTTTGACCATTTCTTGATGATTTCTTTGCAGAGAGTTGGTACATTTTTTTTTATCGATTTCCGACTACTGTGAAATGTTTCTGTAACAAATACAGATGGGAATCTCTTGAAGACATATTGACATGGTAGTAAAATCTACATTTTTTATAATATTTGAAACAGGTACATGTACAGCATATATGACATTGATATGGACAGAGTTCAGACCATAATGACCTGTGATCATGGCCTTGTGTTGTTTCTGGCCCCGAATGCTTCTCCTTTGATTGTTTAAGGCAAAGAGGGAATACAATGGGATGAAAGGACGCCTTAACATGACTTGGACACAAGGGAAAACACTTGTCTTCTTTATTGTGACCTTTATCTTGTTTTTGCCTTGATTCCGGCATTAGTGTACAGTACTTTAGGTGTGTTAGAGGCATTGAACCCACTGTGACTTGGGACGACAAGGCAGAGAAATGCAAGGAAGATGTTTATGAGAATATTTGGGAAAATGTAGATAATCCCCTCCTTTGTAGACCCTTAAATCGGATCCCGACTTTGAAAAAACTGCATTTCTGTCTCGTATAAAGAGTTTATAATCATGTCCTTGTCTCTGTGTTGTTCTTGTTACTGAGTCAGTGATGTAAATAGAAAAATGCTCCAAACAGGGAACATTTCTCCTGAGTTTCATCAAAGAGGACACAATGACAACAAAAAAGAAATAAATATACAAAACCCCAACCAATATAATCCTAAAAATAAACCAAACCAGCTGAAATAAAGAAAACAAAGATTATTGAATGTTTTTTCCCCCATAGTCCACTGAGGAAGAGGTTCCTTTTATAATATCTCATTTCACCTATTGTGGTCTTCACGACTCATGGATCTGTGCGGATGAAGAATCAGCTTTGTCACTGCTAGTACCAGATAATACATCTCCGATAAATATGTACACACAGACAAACATTCACAATCAAACGTGGGTAGTTATGTAGAAAAATATGTCTTTTTCTTCAGGGTTATCTCCATTCATCCGCAATGGGCCGCTCTCCTCGGAAGGGAACAAATGTGTGAACCATGTCACCTCAATCTTTAATTTATTATTCTTCTCCGGCCAACTCTGCAGCTGTGGACATGCCAATTGCTGTTGGCAAGGCGGCTGCTTTTATACGTTAGTCTCCAGCCCGTTCATATCTACGGCACAGTGGTCCTTGTCCCTGTGCGCTCTCTTGTGGTGAGAGGTGTGACCGTGCTTCTTCTTCTCCAACGGCCTGATCCCCTCCTCCAGCTGGATCAGCCGGGCCACGTCCGGGCCGCGGTGGTCCTGCTTGCTGCCCGACGGGGGCGGCTGGTAGCATCCGTTTTTCTGATTCTGGTAGGTCATCATCTGCTGGATGCTTATCATAGGCTTAGTTTCACAGATCAGAGGTACCTGGTGCAAAAGATGGTGAATGAGGAGAAGAGGAAGAATTCAGAATCTTCACAGTTTCAAAGAAATTAAGAGTGATTATGAAGAAAGGATGCTGTTTCCTGCATCATGTTTGACATTTTGTGAATCCTTTTAGGCCATTTTCTAAATGATAAATGGCTCAGCTAAAATAATTCATGTTTGTCGGTAAATGTTGTTCAAATACCAGCATGCATTTACTTCTGCTCCCTGGGAAAAATGTTTTGCCTAATCATGGAATGATTGAAATCAAATTCAATTACATTTTAACCAAAAGAAAGGATGTTGTTTATTTTAAAATCTGATATGATCCAAAGGTCATCTGGTATATTTATTAAAGGAGTAAGTAGAGAAATAAAAAAACATCTGACTGAGAGTTTGATGAGTGTATTAGAACTACATGTGTTAGTTTTAGAGCTACGGGGGCATGTACAGTACATTAGCCTAGCATAGCGTAACAACTGAAAACAGTGCAAACAGCTAGCCTCACTGTGTATTAAGAGATTACAAGGTCAATTTTGGAGGCCACGTCAGAGCCTACAAAATACATTGAAAGCTGCGGTAACACAAATAACATGAAAACAGTTGGTGAACATTTAGCTACTTCTGTAGCTTTTTTAATCTGATCCCTAAAATATAGACCAGCATGCTAGCTCTCTGTTTCCGTCCTCCCCTCCTATCTGTTTGCTCTGCGGATTGTTTTTTTACATTTTTATCAGCACTATGTCGGATAGCAAATTGCATATTTAAATCAACAAACAAACATGGTACCAGATTAAAATAGCAACAGCAAGATGCGCTAACAATCTAGTAGCGACGAATAACAGGATGAGTGGGACGATGCGTCTCATCACATGAAGTGAATTTATAGGAAGGACCTCAGACGAAACCCTCTCTTTGTAGTCCATTTCAGACAGCAATTCTGGTACTGCGCTAAGCTGCGTCATCATCTAGTGTAACTAGTGTAAAGACATTCATATGAGCCCTATTCAGATTGCTGGTTCAAGGCGTGATATTTTAATATTTTGTGATGTTTCGCCTTCAATATGAATGAATGCTCTGTGTGTGTGTGTGTGTGTGTGTGCAGAGCTCCCGCTGTGCCTTCTTGTCTCCGTAAGATGTAATGAAGGCTGTCCCAAGTTATGGCGGTTGCGAGCAGCAATATGAAAAAAGGGGTATTGATTCTGCAAAATATTGGTTTCCCAGTTTGTGAATTCAAATAACCTTGCAGGGTTGTGGAAGCGCGAGAGCAGCGGGAGCTCCACATACACACATAGTTAAGACATGCACACACACATACACACAGCACTGCTCATCCCTGCAGTCTTCACCAATCCCGTCTTACCTCTGCTGCGCCTCTCTTACTACCTCTGAAGATGTTTACATTATGCCTCCGTGACATTATTCATATTGAAGTTGAAATGTCAGGGGGATGTAAATATTGCGCCTCTCAACGGCAGTCTGTGAAGGGCTCGTGTCTCTTTCTCTCTGTTTCACTCAAGAGTAGACTGACTATCAGAATACCTACTGTACCTCAGACAGCAGGGTTTGTGAAGGTTAGAACAAGGAGAGATTGCCAATATCCCTAATATTAAATTCATCTTGGACAAAATTATGAAACATAAACAGAATCAAATGTTTGTCTGCCAATAAATACCTCGGCAGTCAAGTCAAGCCTCTTGTACCTTTTATATTTGGATCCCACAATAACGTCATACAGAAGCTAGGCTATTAATCTGGCTTTGCCATTTTTTACTGAAACTAAAAATTTAGCATATTGTTGTCCGCTTTTAGAAGGCATGATGATATTGGAACAAAAGAAGACAAATAAATAACAGCACTTTAACCAAACACAGACACAAAACCCTGTCCTGCCTACTCTCACATTTACACAAAAGTCCATTCAGAAAGAGCAGATTCGCTGTAACCCGTCCTGCCTCCTGCTATCTATGCAAAAACAGAGAGCGATTTTCATCCTCTCATCAATACTGTCAGCAAAAAGTAAAAAAAATTAAAAACATTAAAGCGGCTTATTTCACAAATCCCTTTTCTATCTGTCCCTACGTTACGTTTAGAAGACATTAAAAGGACGGTTTGCAACTTCAGTATTCACATAAATGTGTTCATGCACGAGCTCACCTGTTCTCCTTCTTTGACAAAATCTTTTCTGCAGATATGAGCCATAATGCCTGTAGCCAGAGCATCACCCATCACGTTGACCATGGTCCTGAACCGATCCCTGGGTGATGAAATCAAAAGTCATTCACAGTTCTGATAAAACTCAAGAGAAATAATTGTAATAATTATTAACCAAATGTTGTTGCAGTGCTTAGAGCTTGTACAATTTATGCAGGTTTATGCAATGCAGAGATTTATGATGTTTAAAATCAAGTAACATTTGGACTCTAGTATATTGTGGTGAATGCATCAGCATATAAATTCCATATAAGGATCTGTAATCTGTCATTTACTGGAATATGTTTACATGTAATAAACACTTCATGACTTAGTGGCTCTGGTTGCGTTCAGCAGGAGAGATTAACCCTTTACTTACAAAGCCCAGTCAACAGCAATGATGAGCGTGATGTCATCCGTAGGCAGACCCACGGAGGTCAGCACGATCACCATAGTAACAAGTCCAGCCTGCGGGATTCCTGCTGCACCGATGCTGGCTGCAGTGGCAGTGATGCTGAAAATACAGACAAAGGAGAAAAGTGCTTTTGTTTTAAGAACAAACAGTCCTCGTCAAAAATCTGTACGGTCTTTTGGGGCGCTGGTGGCGCAGTTGTTAGTGCGCGCGCACGTCATTCCCCACTCTCTCACTCCCTAATTTCCGACTCTGTCCACTAGCCTATCTCTCAATTAAAATATCCTCTCAATCCTTGTGAGAGTCAGAGGGACATGACAAGAAGCCATGAGAATAACTGCAACATATTGTTACAGGTGGTCAGGTATCATTCTCAATGCAGTATGACAATTTTAACTCATTTAAGTGTGTTAATAATTCCTTTTCCACTGTGCAAGAGGAATTGGAGATATAGAGAGAATATAGGAGCGGATATTCTGTCTGAGACCTTAGACACTGAGCTCAAACTGACACACTGTCCCTCTGCAGGGAGGTTTAGGATGTTGGGTCAGCATGCAGATGGGAAAAAACTCCATGGTCCGCAGCCAAATGACACGGGAACAGAACGCAGCGAGAGGAGAAAATTATTATAATTCTGGCGTGACAAGGGAGATGAGTAATGCAGGTCATATGGGTTTTACTGCCAAGGGATTATGAGGGAATGGGCACAGACTGCAGCCATGAGGAGAGGTCTGCTTAATGTTATTACAGTAGGACATGTCCGAAAAATTAGAGGATTGACGGGACATTATCATAGACCTGGATGGGACACAGGTAAAGTTGGTGAAAAGTTTTAAGCTGCCTGTGTTTTTGGTAGCAGGACCGATGGTGTTTCTGTCTGTGTGTGTTTGTGTGGAATTCTGTCTGTGTGTGTGTGTGTGTGTGTGTGTGTGTGTGTGTGTCTATCAGTGTCCCCGGGGCATCCAGACTGATTTAGCAGAAATCAGATCAAACTAAGAAGCTCATATGAGGCGTAATCTGTGTGACATTTACATTTATGTGTATCTAGTAAATCCCATAATATTTTATATTAATTCAGAATTAAACTGAACGTGTGACGCTAGATTAATTCACATGCTGCACTCAAAACCATGTCAGACTGTCAGAGACTTTCAGAAATCACTGTTGACACAAACATCTGTCCATACAGTTATTGAACTGAACCATTTCGATTTATCGGAATGAGTAAGAGACGAAAAAACGAGGATATTTCATAAAGGAGCCACAAGGCTTTTAAACAACTGTTTTAATTTCCTTTATTTGACCTCCTTTGATTGTATTTAAGGAAGCTCATAAACGTCTTTCCTAGATGGTCTGAGGCAGCCTTACCTGATGGTGATGATCTGTCCAAAGTCGAGCTCATAATTATTCACTTGGGCGATGAAGATGGCTGCCACGGCCTCGTAGAGCGCTGTGCCGTCCATGTTGATGGTAGCTCCGACAGGGAGCACGAAGCGGATGATGCGTCTGTCGATGTGATTGTTCTCGAGGAGGCACTTGAAGGTGATAGGCAGAGTGGCGGAGCTGCAGCACAAGAAGATACATGTTTATAAATAGAGAGCCCACTCTGAGACATGTGACCTTTGAAATAAAATTAGAGGCTTCTTACAGAAACTGTTTACATGGGATGGGATTCACATGTCATTCCCTACTCTCTCTCTCCCTAATTTCATACTCTAACCACTGTCCTGTCTCTCCATTGGAGGCACATAAAGCCCAAAAATAAATCTTAAAACAAAAAAAAGTCTTGAGGGGTGGCCGATAGCCTATTGACTATGTCACGCGCCCCATGTAAGGAGGCAATAGTCCTCAGTGCAGCATCCATGGGTTCAAATCTGACCTCTTTGCTACATTCCCACAAACTCTACTCCCAACATTACCTGTCTCTCTTCAGCTGTCCTATCCGATAAAGGCAAAAAGGCCCAAAAATATCTTTAAAATGTATATGAGGTATTGTGAAGTATTTTGAATTGTGTTCAGAAAATTGCTACTTTAATAAAAGTTATAGTTAAAGTTGATTATATGCTTAATAAAAGAAAGTGTGCACATATATGTACATTTCCACGAATCTTTGATAAAAAAAATCTACCAAAGTTTTCTTTATTTTGTAAGCAAAGGCCATTAAGTAAGACCTGAATGTTAATAAATTATTTCAATTCGTTCAGTTTAACTTCTGTCTTTACTTTAATAACGCATAATGACTAACAAAACAAAAAAAATCATAACAACCTTCACTGTTTTCATTAGCAGGAGATAATATCCTGGACTGAACCTTCATCTTACTGTCTGGAAAGAAGTGAACACCCAAATGCTCGCTAAACATGTTGTTCACCTCACCGAGAGGCTTTGAGGTGTAGTTAAGATTAGTCTGACATTTAACCGATCACAAAATAAAAGCCCAGAGGTGACGCACAAGGTTAAAAGGTTTACATTGGACTCAACAAACATCCATTTCATTCAAGGTTAAGTCCATTATCCACGCCGTGAACACGCAGCATGTACATTAAAAGCATCTCCAGTCAACCTCCGTACTCTCAGAGTACCATTAGTCTTAGCGTATCATTTTAAAATTGAAGTCTTGCATTCAAGCTGTTCTGGAAAACATCTTGATGGACATTTAATTTATACATTTAAATACAATTTATTAAAATATTTCATTAATTCGTTCCTTGTGGGAAACAAGAGGAGCCTCAGCTGACCTCACATGAAAATGCAACGCAAAATGTAGCAAACATGAATACATGGGTCGATTCTCAGCTAAATGTTTTTTCCTGGTAAAATTAATCAAAACTGATTCACATAGACCCCACTTTGAAGAATGACATCAATCATAAATAATATAAATAAAATGGACTGTACCTAGAGGAGGTTGCCAGGGAGATGAGCAGAGCTTGAAGGATGCCTCTGATGTAAACAATGGGGCTTTTTTTAGTGATGAAGAAGTACATGGCTGGGAGGATAAAAAGACCATGCAGAACCAAACCCATTACCACTGTAATGGCATAAAAACCCAGCTTCTTGCCCATCGCTGAAGGGTCATCCATCTCAAGGATCTTTCCTGCGACCAGAAACACGATCCCAAATGGGAAATACCTAAAAAGGAAAGAAGGAAGGAAGATAAAGTTGTTCAATTAACAATACCTGTATCAGAAAAAGCCTCCATACTGCCTTAAATGAGGTTTTTATTACCAGTGAGAATGCATTATAATTCATCAGCATCGCATAAATGGACTTGTTTCTTCTTCTCCAAAACATACTATTCAGAATTATTTATGTTATGGCTGCAAGAGTGGCAGTGCAATTATAACAGAGAGTCAAATGCAAATAATTAGGGTTTATGAGACAAGAATCCTTAAAGTGTCTTTTCAATGTAGCAGCTAATGATGGCTTAGCTGTTCTAAATAATACTTAGGATCAGACATTACATGGTACTGATAGTAAAAAAAAAAATCATCATTAAGTCCATTTGGTGTCATTGTGTTGAGAGAATGAATCCAAAACGTTTTTCTCAGGGCCAGTCAGCTCGTCTGTTAGGCATTATGATTTTCTCAATCCCATAGAACTGACATGAGGAGGGTTTCAGGGGTATTCTGGTTTGCCCAATGTATCCTTGGCAACAGGGACATAGCGACATGTAGATCACTTGAGTGGTTTTGCAGTTCATTGATCCTTGCCCTGAAATGTTTCAGATTTACACTTATGTTACTTGACACTGGTAACATAAGGGTACTCACTGTCAGCAAATACTCAGAATCAGAAAGAGGAATTTTTTTCTCTCTTTGGTCCCATTTTTAAAGTCATGGTGCATCTACTGTTCAAAAAGATTGGCATAATCTGCCATCAGTAATCAACAGGTACTAGCATGTTACTTGCAGGTAGCAGGTAACATGTAATAAATAGTAAGTAAGTCAATTTTTATTTATATAGCACTTTTCACAGACATTAGCCACAAAGTGCTTTACAAAGATATAGAATACAATAAACGTTAGTAATAATGGTGTAATTAGAATTACCATAATAGGAATAATAACAACAAGAGCGCATAAGAAAAAACGAAAAGTTAAAATAAATAAAACAAAAAACAGAACAAAAAGAAAACATTTCCCAAAATAGAATGAAACAGTACGTTCACAGTGCATTAATTGATTCTGAAAGTTATCCAAATGCCTGCCTAAACAGATGTGTCTTAAGTTGACTTTTGAATTTACAAACAGATTCAGCCGAGCGCAAAGACACAGGCAGAGCATTCCAAAGTCTGGGAGCTACTGACTAGAAAGCTCGATCTCCACGGGTCTTGAGGTGAGTATGGGGAACGGAGAGCAGTTGTTTTGAGTTTGACCTGAGGGACTGAGTCGACTGGTAAGGGTGAGCCTGGCCGTGTACGGATCTGTAATTTAAAATGAGGATCTTAAACTGGATTCTGAATGTAACTGGGAGCCAATGGAGGGAGCGAAGTACTGGAGTGATGTGAGACCGTTTGTTTGACCTTGTTAAAACTCTGGCAGTGGCGTTCTGAATTGATTGCAAGCGATTAAGGGCGGACATACTGAGAGAGGTGAAGAGCAAGTTGCAATAATCAATACATATGAAATGAAGGCATGTATGAGCATCTCAAGTTCAGCACTGGAAACTAGAGCTCTCAATTTACTTATGTTTCGTCGGTGGAAAAAACATTATCTGGTGAATTGTTTAATGTGGTTGTCAAATGAAGCCTTGAGGAGGCAGCATGGGAGAGGGACCCCAAGTTCTGCAAGACAGACTTATCCTGAGCAAGGACTAAAATCTCTTTTTTATCAGCGTTAAGCAGCAAATACAGAGTACAGCTAAGGCTCATGGGAATGCCATTGATGTACATATTTGTTCAGATTGGGGTTGATGATTAAAATGCATTGGGATCACCAAAGTCATTTATATAATTTCTAATTTGAAAATGGATATCTGATGAGTATTTTAGGATAATCCATCTATTCTTTTCCAAGACTTTTAGATTTATCACCAAAGTCAGGAAGATATGCCATCCAGCATCCAGGAACACCGACAAAATCCTGCCACTCAACCAGAGAGTAATTTCTCTGTGGTGGTGCTACACCAAAGATCAGGGAATCACTGAAGTCAGAAGGATTCATCCTCTGGTGACCATGGTAAACCAAATCTAATGGCAATCAATCTCATACTTGTGAAGACCGTTTATTAATATTGTAAGACATTGATATGATAGAGGCACAAGGAAAAGACAAGGTGTCGACAATATTGTAAATAAGGATTCATTCTCTTGAGACCTTGGATGTATTTATTATCATTGAGAATTTTCAAGGTGATTCTGGTCTAAACTGATGGACCAACTGAGCAAAAGACAAGATTTTTATGCACATTCATTGTTGCCAAGCTACAAATAAGAACATCTTACCAGATGACAATAGCGACAATTTTCAGGACCGCTTCGTTCACACTCTGGCAGAAGTTGACCAAAGCACTTCCATTGGGACCCATTCTTCCCAACATTATTCCTGAGTTTTAAAGAAACACAAAAGCAAAAATGTGCATACATGAATAGATAGACATGCACTTAAAATGCTGTAAATGTTGCAATTGGTAAACAAAAAAGTTGCCATTATCTGATGGCAACACATTTAAACTAATTTATGCAAACATGAGAGCTTGCCAATACTGCTATTATGCAAATACAGACTTTTATCAATAGCAATCAGCATGTTATATAACAAAGCCAACCAGTGACTCACCCATAGTAGCAGAAAAAATCACAATCCCGAGCACATTCATGCCCTCGCTGGTACCCGGTGATGTTTTCATGATGACGTCAGGTGGCGGCGTGAGATCCAGAGAGAAGTTCTGGATGTCCGTGCCATTGTCATCCTGTATACCGTAGATGTAGAGTCTCCGTGTTGTGGTCTCATCCAGGATCTGAGCCACTGTAGGTTTGGGGATGAGCTCAGGGACTCTTGCGGTTCGATACTTGAAAGCAAAACAGATCACAGGCCCCGACATCAGTGCAGGAAACATAACACCAAACAATTGATTGCAGGAATTTGTCACACAATAATTAAACATGTGTGGGCTCATATCACAAGTGTTAATGTGGTTCAGTGGGTTTTTTCTGACAGGGGTGACAGTGAAGCCTTCCTAGTGTTTAATTTCCTGTAGCCAACATGTAATCTTTCATCTTAAAGAAACACATGTGGAGTGAAAGAGGGATCAAAAAATATATCTGCCTCAAGAGTGAGAGATAAAGGAAGAGACTGACATTTCAACACACATTTTCTCTAGCTTTTGATAAGATGTAATTAGATCTGAGGATTTATCTCGCATGTTTGAAAGCTAAATGTGAAGCTCCAGAAGGCAGTCGGTAAGCTTATAGCATACAGTCTGGAAATAAGAGAGAGAGGCTTTCTCTGTCCTTATCATTTGAACACACTGGGTTATGTTTCAAATAAATTAAACATGATGGCATGTATGTATGGTGTGCATGGGGGATTTGGTAACACTTTATATAAAGGTCTTTGTTATAAGCCAATGTCAATATGAAATGAGGATCTTTTTATCCGGCTATGTGTTTATGACATGTATGTGTAAGTGCTGATAATAGCATCATAAAAATACTGTTTTTTAGATTGGGACACTTCAAAGGAACTTGTGAACAGTTTATATATTGTTCAAAACCATTTATAAAATCTTGGGTTTCTTTTTGATTCTTTAATGACTCTCTTTTGCAATAATGTTTGTGCTTGATTAAGATAAACTCTTATTTGCATGTATAATTATCAGTTTGTAACAGTTAACAATGATTTTGACAGCTCTTTGATGTACAGAGAGAACAATGCTTTGTTCCGTTTAATTCATCTTTGACTAAAACTCGATGACATACTGACTGCTGAGGGGAGAAGGGCTGAGGTCAGATCTAAACTCTCTCAGATGAGTGCATTGTTTAGATATTAGATATAAAAAAGATATATAGTTTAAGATATAAAACACAGTATTACTGATACAAAATATATCATAATGCTTCAGTATTGGTTTATAAGCACTTCATTTAAACTTGGTGTACGTTTTCATTTCAAACCATCGGAGCTGTTCAGTCTTTTTTGTATCTTTGCTCTTACCTGTTGAAAAGTGGCCTGAACCAGGTTGGCAGGAAACATGTTGCTGTGGAGAAAGAGAATAACAGAGAAAGACAAATGTGAATATACTGTAATAAGACATACAATAAGTGTTTCCAAAGTATCACAGTGGCTTATTTAAGACATTATTCAACTTAACAACAATGCTCTAATGTATCTCTTCACAATATGCATATCATAATGAAACCACACTGCATACATGCTCCTGCCACAACGAGCCCTGCAGGACACACTTTAATACCTCATCCTGGTACAACTCCCTCACCACCAAACACAAAACAAAACTCTCCCGCATAGTTAAACAGGACAGCAAAATAATCGGTTCATCCCAACCTACCCTCTCTGAAGTGTATAACCACTCTGGGATCAGGAGAGCCACCCTGGTCACACAGGACCCCTCTCACCCCCTCTGCCCCTCCTTCCAGTTACTGCCATCAGGCAGTCGCTACAAAGCCCCTCTTGCCTGGAAAAACATCTAAAAAAACATTGCGAAAAAAAAAGCATTGATCTTGGCTGACAAAAACCTCACCGCTGTGATATCAACTTGCAAGACAACCTTATACTGCAGTAGAGAAAAATAACATAAAACATCTGCTGAATTTCATAGACCCTCAATCTGCTTACAAGTCAATAAGCTGTTTCAGCAGACCCTCTGAACATGGGTCCTCCAGCTGAGTGTGCTGTATAAACCCTGTGATTCTTATAAGAGCAAACCTGCGCGATGGGCCGAAGATCACCCACTCTTCTGAAACAACATGGCATACAGCATCTTGTTGGTGTTGCTTTTGGTCTGTTCATATTCTTTGTGTCTGAAACAATTCCTGTGCAAAAACCCCTCGACACAAACAATCACTGTGTCAGAACTATGCACAACTTTATTTTCCATTGTTTAAATGCGCCCTGTTTCGTCCTCAAACCAAAATGTATGCACTATGTATACTGTTCAAGCTCTCTCTTTATAGCATCAAAATTCTTGGAACAAGAATTTTCTTTTTTAATCTCTTTAAAACATCTGTCGATTCAATGCCAGTTAAAAAAAAACTGCATAACTGCATTGCTGGGTATGGGGGGAATTTTACAATGATATATCTTCTCCATGTATGGTTAAACAACCTGTTATACTAGTCATGTTATATTTATTTTAGCATCCTTTTCCCTAATGTCTCATTATCTTACTGTCAGCAGTAAAGTTATCGAAGTTTACAACAAGCAATGAGCAGCTAAGCATACAAAAATAATATGAAGAAGAAGAATCATAACCATAAAACATTAAAAAGAGATGATGAGGAATAACCAGTGAATCCAGCAAATGAATGTCAAAATCGACCACAATCAATATATACATCAAATATTTATATATGCACTGTGGGCCCCTTAATGTGTTTTTGCACATTGCATATTTGTGCAGCACATTTGATGCACACCAGCTATCATTAAACATGATGAGAGTTGGAGAAAACGTACATGCGTTAATATTGCCGTTGCTTTAAATAAAAAAGGTTTTCCAACAATCAAACACATATTCAGATACATTTTCAACAGTAGTGCTTGCACCTCTCATCATCTACTCATGTCTCTCTTTATATCTGTCTTACTTCTCTATCATCTGCAGCTGTCTGTCTGTCTGTCAGTCAATCTGTCTGTCTGTCTGTCTGACTCAATAGATTGCAAAAAAGTGAGTGATCACGTAACAGCGCACTTGTTAATATTAGCGCTGATGATCTTATGAAGAAATGCACAAAATGTCATTAATCTTCATTCTTCATATCATGCAGGGTCTAACCTCTTACCCTCACTATGGTTTTGGTACCAGAGGAGACCAGGATCCGAATGCTCTGACATCTCTTCTCTCCTACTGCTGTTGTGAAATTAGTAAGTGGTAAAGTGACTTTAAAACCTTTTCAGATGTTCTATTTAAAAATGTATATAAAATTCAACACACCAAAGTGGCTAGAGGGAGTGGCTGTGTTGCAAACCACTGCTGAAATCAACCCCCATTTGGCAGGTGTTAATGTCAAGCCCTGACTGCAACCTGTTTAAAAAAACAACAACAAACTAACAAAAAACATTCTACTACTTTTCAATGTGGAGTTAAAATGTTCTCATGTACCTGTGTGTGTTTCCTGCAGCCCAATGACACGCAATTTAGCTTAGTCATCTTTAAACGGCTAAAGGGTGCCACTGTGAACGTATGTATGTGCGACTATTATGGTGGAATGTACTGGGTGTTTCCATATCTCTCCCAATGTGAAATGGGATGTGGAGCCTGAATCAGCCCCCTGTGACATGGCACAGTATGGATGATTGATGAAAAAAATGGATGGATGAATGTATAATTACTGTAATGTCCCTCTCTCATGGTTCACTGGCTCTCATTTTGGTCACTTCATATAATTAAATGGGACCATTATGCACTGCTTTAAAGACATAGGCTTGTCTTTCAGTCACATGGCAGAGGAAAGTACAGTATTATGATCCCTGCTCAAGTGACTAATTGTAATGCTGGAATGATCACTTTAAAGACCAACAGAAATAATATCAATGCCTCTTGTACTACTAGGGTCTATACCATTGTTAGTAGGCCGCTGTGAGTCAGGTTCAAGTGTTCTTCAACATTACATGCTGCAAGAAGGAAAAGCACAATAGCAGGCATATTGTAAAGCTCGTTGGAATGAAAGCCAATTACCCGTTTCTACCATGCCTACACATAGGCTTTTACATTTTCTTTATATCCCTTTTACTTTTTTATTGTTGTGTCACACAAATTAATGAGGACATTAATGAAATAATAAACAAACAGATAAATAAACAAATCCTTAATGCATAAATAAGCTTCATGCTTTACAGAAAAAGTTTTAATTAGGAATTTAAAATAATGAACTTATTTGTTAACTGTTTTGTGACATAAATATTACTTTACATTGCCCTTATTATACATATCCCTCTGAACTGGATTTGTTGTAAGAAAGGTTCTGTAAAAATAGAGGTTACTTTGAATATTATTAAAGGTTTAGTGTTTCGCAAAGGGGGAAGTTTTAGTAGAAAAGTCGATGCGACATGTAAATCTGAAACTTTGTATAACATAAAAGTGTTTATCTGAGGGAAATCTTGTGGTGGGCGAAAGGGTTCAGTGGCTCTGGTTCTTTTTTGTAAAACCATCAGTTGGAGACTGCCACAGACACTTAAATGAATCATGGCGTTCATGTGTTTCTTTTAATGACAGCAGTCAATATGACAACTGAACAATTATTTGAACTTGTAATGGTCTGGTATTTATGTGTGTATGCATGTGTATTTATGTGTGTATGCATGTGTATGTATGTGTGTATGCATGTGTATTTATGTGTGTATGCATGTGTATGTATGTGTGTATGCATGTGTATGTATGTGTGTATGCATGTGTATTTATGTGTGTATGCATGTGTACTTATGTGTGTATGCATGTGTACTTATGTGTGTATGCATGTGTATTTATGTGTATATGCATGTGTATTTATGTGTATATGCATGTGTATTTATGTGTGTATGCATGTGTATTTATATGTGTATGCATGTGTATTTGTGCATCAGGGCGAAACTCCGCCGTGCGCGTTACAGAGAGCAGAAGAGAATTGTAAACATGCGACCATGTAGAGACAGAAATGACATGCCGTCGTGTAAATAAGATACATAACATAAGGATATTTAGTTTGTTTAATAAAAGGACAAGGTCCTGTTCTATAGGAAATGTATCCTTATGACTTCTGTTGTGATCTGGCGCTATGTAGAAAATAAAATAAAATAACTGCGATTCGTTTTTCAGAGAATCGATGTGAACCTTGAGACTTTTGAATCGATTTTTAACTTACTCACTATTAATCGTTACATGCCTACTGCACAATAACTGAAAAGATCATGGCTTGCGTATCTGTCCTTCATTCTAACAAAGCAAAAATTATTTGACTGCAAGACATATAATTGTTTTCAGTCTGCCTGAAAAGCAACATTGAAAGACTTTCATAGAAGTGATCAAAACCAGCACTTTCTGAAGCACCCTTTTATTGGTATTTTAGATGGATATCTTTAGAGCCTGGTGAATAAAAAAAATCATTCTGTAGCTTTCTTAACAAAGAGTCTGTCAATCACAAGTGAACCTGCATGCATCACAGGCTGTAAATCCCACATCAACACAAAGCTCTAATCATGATCCAAATTCAAACGGCAAGAGATTAAAAGGCATATTGTATTTTACAGCTTGTGCATTCAACAGAGTGATTTAAAAGACATATGGCAAAGACATACAGGCACAATATGGTGCAACTCAATTTATTTTCTGTACGGATTTGACCACCGCAGCAGCCTATCATGTATTTAAGACGGCGAAAAGCAGGCTAATGAAACACTCTGACCCCAGAGGCACTAATAAATCAAAGTATGCACATATTCATACATACTGTGACACACACACACACACACACACAGGGCTGCAGACACTGGGGCCCATTTGCGAGTGTACCAATATAGTATGCGTCCATCATAGATGAAGGCTGTAAAGAAGCTTTGCGAGATAAATCCAAAGCACATCTGTGCTCTGTGACACACACACACACAAACACAAACATGCATCAACATCCTGTGCAGGACAGAGCTTCACCTCTGACACATGATCACTACATGGTTGGATTACAGAGGGCCTTGACAGTTTGTTCCTCCTTTTTTTTTTACTGTGTGATTGAAATTCAATCAAAAACATGCTTTTGTTATTAAATATTCCAAATAAATTAAAAACTAAATAACAAAATCGACATAGGAAAGAAAAAATCAAGAAATAACATTATATAGACTAAAAATGGGAAACTGTCATGTAAAAACTTTTTTTTCTCTACTTTTCTATTTGTGTGAAAATATGGAGAGAATTCGGCTTAGCAGCTCCCTTTGTTGCAGGACTTTAGCCGACTGACCGACTGTCACACTGACCCAGTGGCTCTCAGGCCTCACCGTCATCATGTGCGAGGCTGACCCAGGTTCACCTCAAACACTCCATTCTTCAGCAGCGCTTATTAGCTTAGTGCAGTAAACCACTGGCACTCAAGGCTCCAGGCTTTACTCTCTGTCCTCAAGAAATAGCACGCATGGCAAAAAATTAACATATCACGGATAGATTAAAATAGCTTTCAACAGAGGTCCTGATCAGGGAGCACCTGTGCTGTGATTAACATGCTAACACCAGATTTGCACATTTGTCTCTCTCACGTTTGAACGATGAAACACAAATTAAAAGACATTACTCACAATAACATTGATTAAATTAATTCATTTTGAAATCAGTTCATACTTGTCTTTTTTCTATTTGATGTAAGAACAGAATTTGTTGCTGAACACACACAAACTCTTAGAAGTCCAACTCATTTGCCACATTTAACAGAGGCTTGATTAAAAGACATGCAAAATTAGATTTGATCATCAATCTGTTGAGCTTATGACCTTAAAAGAGCAACACATACTTATTTTGAATGGTTTATTTTAGTCCTGAATAGCTTAAAATGTCCAACAGCTTATAAGCAAAGATTTATGATTTAAATGAGAATTTTGAGCAGATAAATGATCTGCTTCCACAACCTCAAAACTCACCTAACAATACCAACAGCTCTTTTGGCTTTTGGTGTCTTGAAGTATTGTATTTTTGTAAACTCTCCCTGATTAAAAAAAACAAATAAACTAAACTAAACTCAAATCTGGAGGGACATTGGGCCACATTTAAAGTAAAAACAAAACATAAAACAATTATTTATTAATGTATAATGGACTGACATCTGTGTTATTACAGCTGGAGTTTATTAAACCGCATTTTTAACTAGCATAACGTTAGCTAGCTGGAAGTACCTTTAGCTAACCACATAGCAGTGAGCTAGGCATGTATACCTTTCCCTTTGTAAGCTTAAACACTTATAAATTGCAATTTTTGCTAGGAAGAGGACAAACACTTACATTAGCTGTTTGCTAAGTGAAGGTAATTCTTTATTTGTGTTGTTTCAATTTCAAATTTACCCAAACATCAATCCAGATTTTCACTGTTCTTTGTTTTTTTAAATGTGGTGACTCAGTAAGCAGTAAAATGATCATAGATTCTCTGATTCCGAATGATACTATTGAAAAATGTGGAACACACTAGTTTGACATTATAACAGAATTTAAGCATCCCAACCGTATAGGATTAACATCAGAGGAAAATGGCCTTGGAATGGAAAATGTGTTACGCGAGACAGTTAAACTTTTTTAAACCACTGCATCCTTGGCTTCAGATTTCTAAGTGACTTTGAAGGCTTTGTATGTTTTACTGTAGTAAAAAAGGAAGCTTTCTCTTTGTGTATTGTTAATTCTAAGGTTGTTGCTGTTGCATCCACTACGAGTGTTGTATAAGCATATGATATATTATTGAAGCTTTAATTCCATAGTGCCATAAACTACAAGCACTCCCATTAACGGACTGTTAAATATTGTCTCTATGCGTCTAAAAGACTGAGTCTTGAGTAGCAAACACACCTTATTTCTTGATAATGAAATTTTTTTCCCAGCCAATCAACACTGAGCTTGTAATTAGAGCTACATAGCTGTTTCTTACCGAATAAGATCCAGCAGAGCGTCAGCAGAGCTCGTCATCGGCTTCTTGCTTTCGTCTGAGTCCTCCTTCTGAGCGGCTCCGCCCGGGTGGATCATGTATACCATGACGATGCCCACTACCACAGCAACGAAGGTGGTCCAGAGGTAGTAAGAGATGGTCATGATGCCCAGACGGCTCGAGCACTTGGCGTCCAGGGCTGCCAGACCTGACATCAAACTGAATGATGGGAGGGGGAGGAAGATGGAAGGTAATGTTAAAAAATCCAGACAGAAACCACTGCTAAGGAATTGAACAATTTGAAAAGTCGATTTAATTGTTCCCACAGATGCTTAAACTAAATGTCTGATCAATTGTTACATACTGTAGCAGTTGGAATGGAAATAATTTGCAACCAATACCTTAAATGGAGTGTAATTAATTTATTATTTTTTTAACGACATCATACTTTTACCTCTTTTGTTTAGCACAAAAATCTTAACCTTCTACACTTTACTTTTTCAGATGAAGGTATTTAAAGCACATCAATGATTGGAAGTGCCTTTTATTTATTTTCTTTTTATTCCCAATCGGTATTCAAAAGATTCACAGTGAGCTATATGTTTGACTGACAGCAAATTGATCGTTTTTATCAAAGAAATGTGTCTCCCAATTGAGGGTTTGCATCCTTCAGCGGCTTTCCTTGAAGGCAGAAAGTATAGGCTGTGCCATTTCGAAGGCTCATTTCCCGAGATTCATTATGTGCAAGTGAAACAGAGTTTTTCGGGCTTGTTCTTGTTCACTTTGTCGGTCTTGTTCTGGGAATTTCCACATTCAGATCCTTAATTTACATTTCACAAAATCCTTAAATCATGAGATTGAAGCCTGCAACCAAAACAACCAGTTACCCCAATACTTAGACGGTGCAAGACTGTGATTTTATTGCCGGATAGGAAACTTCCTAGCCGACAACCCACTGCAAATTATTCGTCTTCTTAAATCTAACTTTTGTCATTGATATAGTGTTTATACTGTCGATACAAGCGTTAGTAATATCCTGTAGTTTGTGTTGTGTGAATGTATAAATTACATTCATGTGTCAAAACAAGGTTATTAGTACTATTTGTTTTAGCTACCTAACTAGCTAGCCTGCTAGAGGAACAATCCATAGGCATATGGCGTTCAGGGGGTGGGACAACCCTGATGATGGAACCACTAAGCAAAACTTGTTTTCAAAGTAGAGAAAAGCTTCTAAATGAAACACTGGCTCTGGTGTCTTAGATAAGAAAACCTGTGCCATTGAAAGAGATGAAAGCATCATCAGATCCGTGAAAACAATTCCTTAAATCAGTTCGTCTTTGTCTCTTTGTTAAGCTCCTTATCCTAAACTAAAGAAATATGAATCTCCCCAATAAGAGCTTTATTACTCCGATTTTCTTAACATGCCGTGGAAAGTAGGATAAAAAACTGTTTTTGCAAACACTACATAAAGAAAGGAGTGATTTGTATTTAAATAGGATGCTTTGAATATTCCTCTTGCTCTGTAATTCATCCCACTGACGTGCACTGGCAATATCTCTGTCTCAAAGCACTTAAACAACATGAGAAAAGCAGGCAGACATCATTTGTGGGGAGATTTTCAAATGTAAGCACAGCAGTAGATTGGAAACGGTGAAAGAAGAGAGTGCGGGGGAGCTTTTCAAGGAGATTTCTCCTTGTTTGAAGTGTAATCTCGTTTGACTTGGCAAGCCTTTGGATGGGTCTGCAGAGTCTCTTCGTGCATCCAAACATCCATCCTATCATCTGTGAAATGTTGCATTGGACAGAGAACCATCATCTCTTTTCTCTCAGTCACATGAGTCAGCCTCTCGTTGCCCAACGTTTACAGCTTTAATTACAGCATTTTCCTTTCAGCTAGTCTGCCGCTGACTTCTGTGTTAAAAAGATGCCAACTAGTGTGACAACAAAGCTGTTAGAGATTGATTTAAAGGTCCCATATTATGCTTTTTCTGGTTTTATATGCTCTTTAGTGTGTTTTCCAAGTGTCCTGTGCATGTGATGTGGATTTCCGTTGTTGATGATATGTTTGATGATGAAGAAATTTGCTGTTGAGACTGACTTGCTTTTAAACAGAATTATTTATTAACAAGTTGCAGAATCACTGAACACGTCTGCCCAGGAGAGTCAAGAAGCCAATAAAGATCTCTCCCAAACATACATTGAGAGTGCTATTTATACATAATGTCACAGCACACATGAGGACATCTGTTTCTTGTTCTTGGGTATCTCTCTGGACACAGGGGTCCCCTTGTTTACCTTGCACTGTGGGGGATCCTGTCTTAGATTTTGGCATTTCCTGGCAACTCATCACTCATCCTGCCAACAACACCTCTAAGCAAACATTCAACTGAAAGGGACTCCTCTATCAGATACAAATTCTTTCCAGATGTGTGCAGTATACAACTTAAGGAGCAGTATAATATCTCTGTCCTAGATATTTAAGACACTTCACATGTTTAGTCACATCTATGTGCAAAAATTCAAAGTCCGTGGAAACGCGACTTCTCCTATGTCCTCCTGTTAGCTGTAGCATTAGCTGCATGTAACGCTCGGTTCTAGCCCCCTTTGATAAAAATTTGTCAGTCCGACGTCATTGTCAGTGTGAGATCACTGATCTCAGCCCATTGGCTCGTTGTGGCAAGCCCAGCAGCTCATGTTGCACGCCCGTTAACTTCTGTAGCACGCCCACGATATGTCGTAGCCTGCAGTAGCACAGTAGTGCTAAGGTGCTAATGTTTATGCTCCCCTCGGATGGAGCCAGTGGCTGCATTCCCAATATGGTAAAAGACATTTCCGAGAACGGTGCTGAGCGACTGACCAATAACGACAGAGCGGATCGGCAGACCAATCAGAGCAGACTTGGCCCACGTGGGGTCTAACAGTGTGGACTCTAGCAGAGCATAGCTGACGGACTCAGAGCGTAGAGGGATCAAGGAGGAGCAGTACATGAAAACAGACACTTTTTTCGGACTTTAGCTATTGTGAACGTACAAAAGTAGGTACATAGATTAAATATATGAACCTCAAAAAGGGCATAATATGGGACCTTTAAGAAAAACTTTCCGGGCTAATTTATTTCACTATACTGCAGCTCAATGCTATTTTGCAAAAACAATAATGGGTCACCTAACAGTCACACATTTGTTTAATGTCTGAGGTCACAGTATGAGTGTGGTGGGAAAAAAGGCACAAGCTGGTTTTAAAATAATTAAATGATTTGCAGAGATTTGAAAGAAAATCTCTTGCTGTAAATAATAAGGATGTTAAGACAATTTCCTGACAAACTGACAGCTCTAATTCATCAAAGCAATGCCTAATTTGTTAAAAGCCGTTGCAAAGTTAATTAAACTCAGCAAGACTGTAAGTTTTGATCAATCAATCAATCAATTTTATTTGTATAGCGTCAACCCATTACAAGTGTTATCTCAAGACACTTCACAAAAAGCAGGTAAAATACCTTACTCTTTGTCTTTTAACATTACAAAAGAGCAGGTAAAAATACCTTACTCATTGTTATGTTACAAAAAGCAGGTAAAATACCTTACTTATTGCTATATTACAAAGACCCGGCCTATCCATTATGATATCCATCATGATTCATCCTTGATGAAGCGTTTAGCCATGAATGACTGCTTTGGTAGCATAACAACAAGTGAAGAAAGTCATTATCTACAGTATTTCACTCATGCACCACATGGAAATGTTCACATATATCCCTCACAGCGGGAAATTTTCCCTGTTGGAAAGGGAGGTTTTAAAAGGGAAGACAGAGAACTGAGATGCAGGAAAGATGTGAAAAAGACATTGCAAAAATCCAAGATGGCAGGCAAAGCGACAGAGTCTGACAATATAATGACTTTTTTTTTTGCCTTTCGATTAGTCTAATATTTGAACCTAGCCACAGTATGAATGAACGAACAAATGGATAAGAACATACAGAAAGCAGAAAATAGTATAAAACTGTTGTATTACGAGACACTGGTCTCGGGATATAAACAACTAAATCCCCTCTGCCAATCAATCAATCAATCAATCAATCAGCGCCAATTCATAACAAATGGAGCAGGTAAAAGACCTTACTAGTGTAATATTAACTTGAGGACTCGCAGAAAAAATTGTATTTCGGGCGAAAACATTCCCACATGTCATTCACCATGAAATTCCTGGAAACGATGTGATTGTACTGTGTAATGTAAATTCCAATAATATTCAACAAATCAAACATTTAGTGAAAAGAAAGTAAACATGAAAACACAAGTGAATTTATACAATCTGACTTCAAATCTGCTATATATGCAACTTCTTCCAATCAAATGGACCCAGTTGCTGACAGCCGTATGACCTCTTGGATCTCTTGTGGACTCTATTAAGCTGGAACAAATGTGTCATACTGCTGGGTATTATTGTCAGCATGCTGTCCTTGCCAGCTTGAGTGGGGCAAAACCAAAAGGTTTTACTACATTAACATTACCATAAACAAAAAAACACTCAATTCACAAATCTCAACCATTTTACACATGATTAACCACAATGTGATCAGCCTTGATCATTTCAGTTCTCACCATGGGTACAACACACGCTTCAGGAAATGTTGTAATTATTCCATCCACCACTGTGTCAGTTTATTAAACCCAAAATGTTGTTTTTCCTTCTGTTTCTGTTTGTGTGTTGCTTCTTGATCTGTGATAAGAATAACAATTCCAGAAGATACACAGCTTGTGTGATTCCCCCCGCCCCATGAGACAAGAAGTGTAGCATTGGTCAGGGATTAAATGATCTCTAGCAGGAAAATCAGGACGTCATAACTGGAGTCAAGATAAGCATGACAAAACAAAACATCAATCTTCTGGGAACAGCAGATGGAGCATTTTAGCTGCGTTGTATGTCCGTTTGTTAGGTGCAGAGACATGTTTGCTTTTTTTTTTCTTTCTCTTCAGCCAGGAGATCAAAAAAGAGAAAACGATTACATTTTCTTTTAAAAGGGACGATCCAGTAAATCGTCTTACTGGCTTCCTCTTTCTCCTCCTCCCTACTCTGTGCGTTTAAGTCTGATAATAATATCTACATCAAAGGTTGTATCTTTGATGGGATCTGTCTCTGTCTCCTATCTTCTATCAACTTACTTATGTGTCTTGTGAGCAATCAGCAGAAGTGAATGTCAGACTTGCATACAAACGCAC